CGCAACTCTTCGAAGCAACAAAGAAGCATGCGTTGTTCAGCATCTTCTGTCATAGTATTCATGCTAAGTTCCAGCATTAAACCTTTGACTTGATACATTTCCAGACGCTTCGCTGATATCTTAGTCCAATGCTAGAGATTATCATGAGTACTATGATAGAGGACACATTACTGGTCACGTTCTGCAAGGTCTCCCTATCTCTTTTACTAAGTTGCGAAAGCGAGAGTGAAAGTAACCTGCTACAAAACCTAAGACCAAGCCATCTTTGTTTTCGTATTTAATCGAACTACGATTTAGGACCAGTATTCCTGACCAACAAGCGTCAATTCGTATACACTCAAGTATATGTGCCTATAGTCATATACTATAAAACGAATCAAGTTATTCTATATCTTTCTATATTTATCTACCTACTTTCGTTCTTAGTTGTGAATATAGATATCAAGTAGGCAAAAGCTTAATATTCATCTCAACTTAATGTTAACTCGAAGCTTTGCAAGAATGAGTTTCAGCACTGAAGATATATGTCGGGCAGCATGAGAGACAAGAGCTCAACCAGTTTTCATCTGAATGGAGGGAGGATATCTCGTAGAGTTTGTCAATTTGAACATCGAAATACAATCAAACCACTACAGGATAAAGCAAATCAGCCGTCGTCTTCTGAGGAGACCGACCCACTAATCGCTTCATCAGACATTGCTACAAGCAATTGAAGTCATTTCAACAAGAGTATATCAGAGCTATCCTCTTACCTCAGTTTCACGTCTTATATACAATAACTATGAATGGTACAGAGTTTACAATATGTTTAAGAGCAAACCCTAAGGTGTCCTGGTTCGAGCATCATCAATCTTCAAAAAACACGAGTTTACTAGAGTTTTTGAATAAACGGCATGGAAATTTCCATATTTTAATCTTTCCCCGGGTTTCAGTTATAAGTTAATCTTAATTGCTGCTTTATATTATTCTACACTTGTGGATAAAACGTACTATTTACTATTAACCCTGTGGCAACACTCATCAGTCTATGGTGATTCTTCTATCGTCGAAATTTTAAATAGATTTTTTTCTGTACGGACCAGGCCATGCTTTTACTATGGAAAAGGCTTATGAAGTATACACTCTTCATAAATTGGTTTGATGGTCACCTACGCTAATTAGTAGGGCATTAATATATGTGAGAATTTGGGAAATTATTTATTTTTATTTTACAAAAGCGATCATTATTATTTTAAAAATTTGAAGCTTATGGATAATTTATGCGAAGTTAAAAAGTTGGTTGTACACCTCACATAAGTTAATGTTTTCCAGGCGTTTTTGTTTGCCGCGCCTTAGTGAAGGGCTTAGGCATTGATATGGAGCGTTCTCGCGCAGACTCCAAACTAAAAATTGACAGGTTCCTAATTAATGAAGCTTCGAACGCCGATGTCTGTAATATCGAAGGGGTGGAATCGTATGATCAAGCGGTGTTTGAGCAAGGTTGGTTCTCGTTTTTTGTATTACGCCTTTCAGGTGTCCTCTCCCAAGCTGATTCAGCTTTTAAAAAGCACATAGATGACAAATCTATCAAGATTGAGGGGAAACTTAAGAAGATTTTGGAGGATATTGAGTAAAAACGGCTGATATATTAATACTTAGATTGTCTGAAGCGGATATCGCGTCGATGGAAAAGCGACTAGACGAATTGCTGTCAAGCCATTGCACAGAGTTGAGGAAAATTAAAGCCCTCGAGTCAAACATCGAGACGAAGGTTATTGTTTTCTA